GATAAAGTAAAAAAATAGTTTTGTTTGTAAGAAAGTATTGCTAATGTAATAAAATTTCTTATGTAAACAGGGCGCAACAAATCGACAAACGTGCAAACATTTGTTAAAAAAAAAGGATAGAAAAACAAACGTTACGTTTCCTTAATTTTACTTAAGCAAACGTTGGCACTCAACAACTTCAAAAGAAACCATACTAATACTTTCTTAAATAGTATAACTTATAAGTTTAATAATTAAGCACGCAACTGAAGATGAAAAAACGTTAGAGCAAAAAATTTACTGACTTTTATTTGCATTTTTATACTGTTAGAAAAAAAAAACTAATAAAAAAGAATTAATATATAATTATTAATTAATATATTATTAGTTAATTCTTTTTTATTAGTTTATTTTTTCAAACAGTATTTTCAGTACAAACAGTACTTTTTCAAACAGTACTTTCAAACTAATAAAAACCAGTAATTTATTTACTTAACGTTTTAAGCCTTATTTTAAACATGAACTATAATTCGATTTATTAAACAAAGTTTTTTTGTTTTATCTTTTATTGGAAAACTTGAAATAGAAAAATTGAATAAAAACATCAACCATTTAAATGAAAAACTTAATTATATTTAAACTTTTATTAGTCCTTTATTCAAGAAACAATAAATTATAAAAAACGTGGTATCTAATTTTTTATTAAATTTTTGAAGATGTTTTTTGATTTATTGACGATAATTTTTTCCCCCCATTACCGCACATCGGCGCGAGCTATAAGAGAGAGGGGAGGGGGGGGGGGAGGGAGGGAGAGATAATAGAGAGGGGGGGAAGGAGCTATAAGAGGGGGGGGGGGGAGGGAGCTATAAGAGAAAGGGGGAAGGGGAGATAGCAAAAAAAAAATTTTTTTTTTTGCGATTAGATCTTTTTGCGTTAATTCGAGCCCTGTCTTAGTTTAATTTCTAATAAAATGTCTATTCAACCTTATCAATTTGAACCAAAAAAATATAGCAATTTAACATAAATGTTAATTTAACTAAAACATTTTATTCTTTTATCTAAACTAACTAAAACATTAATCTAATTTAACTAAAACATTCTTTTTATCAAGCAAAAATGAGAGTAACCGTCACTTTTGAAACCATAAAAATAACTGAAATAAATTTATTTTTTTACTAAGGAAATATTATAAATAAACTTTCATATGTCTAAGTCAATATTCATTTGTTTTTAATTGACTAAAAAGAGTTTAAAATTTGACTTCTATTCATTTTTAGCCGTGGAATTGCCCTTATAACACAAATATATAAATTAATATTATAAAAAAAAATTTAATATACAAATATATTTTCACAAAATGCTACAAAACTTATTCTTGTAAGTAATTATGTGTTAGTTGAAAAAAAAAACGACTTTACTTTTAAATTTAATTACCAATTAATAAGTTTGCAATAATGACATTTTGTCTACTTTGTTTAATTTGACGTACTAACGTTATTTTTTTGAGGCAGTAGAGTCAATAAACTTTGGACAAGGCGCATTTTCTTTAATCGAAGAAAAGCGTTTTTTTGAAAATTAAATTTGTTAGTGTGTGTTCATTATTACGTTTTAGAAAAAATAATATACATCAAACATTTTTTTTTTAATGCTCTATCATATGAGATCATATCTTTATAGCACTTAAAGATCCCTTTAAAGTTTTGGATTTGCAAAAATATATTTAATTGAATAAAATTAAATAAATTTGCAAAAATATATTTAATTAAATAAACTATATAGAACTATGTTTATTATAGTTTTCATTTTTTACTGTGGGTTTAACAACACCAATAATATGATTTTATTAGTAATATAAATACTTAATATGATTTTATTAGTAATATAAATACTAATAGACTTTATTAGTAATATAAATACTTAATATAATAACTTTTTAAATACTTAATAACTTTTATTTTACTTTTAGTTCCCTTTTATTTAAATTTCTTCAAGTTTATACGTTTTTTTAAAAGTAAATAAATTTATCAAACTAAATTGAGATTTTGTATTAAATGATGACAGTCGACAGCCGTAAAGTTATTGCATATTAGTAATCATTAATTTGCAAGCACTTTGCAAATGCATGAAAAATTGTTTTGGATTGATGAAAAATGGATAAAATTAAATAAGCATCTTTGATATATCTAATTATTATATATCTTATTAACTAGAATAAAGGTTAATTTTAAAATAAATTTAAAAATAAATTTAAAAATAAAGCTCCTTTATAATTTAATAAAAAATTATTTGAATAAATAAAAATCAAAATTTAAAAAATTAAAAATAAAGGGCTTTTAGAAAAAAAGTGAGGAGAAGCCATGTATGCATTATTAGTTAATCCCTATGTGCTTATTTATTCTATCTCCTTTTTAAAATGTTGAGAGAAAATATTAAGTGATCTTATAAAGGTAACAACTATTTATGCAATAAATTTTAAATTTTAATAATAATTATTGAAAATATTATAATAATGCATACATGCAGCCAGATGATTGTTTATTTAGTAACTTTCTTTGAATATAACTACATCTGAAAAAAATATTAACAAAAGATCCATTATTTTATCCAGATGTAGTTAGGTAAAGAACTATTACCAGTTGTAACTATATCTGAAAGAAATTATTCCAGATGTTATTGGACTTTAGAAAAATTCCTAGATGTAGTTACATCTTCCTAAATATGTTGCTAAGGGTCATTTAATTTCCAGATAATATTGGACAAATATTGTTGAAGTTAAAGAAAAATATAGATGATCTAGGACTACACAACAGATGTAGCTTTTGCAAATTTTTTTTTGTTTTTGCATCTATTAACACATCTATTATATTGTTTACACTGTAAACAATAGTTGATACTATTGTTTACAGTGCATACAATATAAGAGGACCTACTTATAATGTTATTATTCCTGGTTCTGCATATAATTAAAACTATAAAAATCAAAACTACTTTGTTTTTCCAAAAAGTTTACTGCATAATTATCCTTTTTGTACCTAATATTTAATATTAATAATTTTTTGTACTTAATGTTTATACATAAAAAAGCCATTATTTCATAACGCCATAAATCGAATATAAAAAGAACAGAACTGCCAAGTCTAACTTAAAGACCCCGTCAAATATATCTATAAAAATGCAAAAAATATAAACTTCTTAAGAAATACCTTTACAATTATTGATATTTTTTTTTTGGCTGCATACTTGTGTATAATTAACATGATTGCATAGAGCTTGAAAAAACCTAATTCAGCTTTAAAAACACAATCAAAATATTTATTAAAGATGATTTATACAACTAGATGTTAGCTTGTTGTTGCTTTCAACCTTAATTTAGATTATTTTAAAAAAATTTTATTAACTTAATTAAAAGCTTGATAATCAAATTTTATTAATATAGTTCAACTTAATTATGCAAATAAAATACTTTATCCTAATTATAAAACCTAGTAAAAGATTACTACATTTGTCCAACAACATCTGTAGAGTAGTCTAAGATCATATACTTTTGTATACTTTTGTTCAAGATCATCTGTATTTTTTTTACTCTATCAACATTTGTTCAGTATTATCTGGAAATTCAATGATCCCTAACAATATTTTTAGGAAGATGTAACTCTATCTGTAACTACATCTTAAAAAAACCATATGAAACTACATCTGGTTAATATAACGCATTATATTATTTTTTTCCAAATGTAACTACATCTGAAAAAAAGACATATATGAAACTACATATGGGTAATATAATGGTTTTTAATTTAATAACTCCATAAAATCCTGTAGTTATATTTAATATAATTGAAAAGATGTAACTGGAGAATTCACAGATAGTTAGCTATATTTTGAATGATACAAAAGTAGGTTCGCAATATTGAAGAAAACATAGACCTAGAGTGTTTTCACAAGATATTGTGCATTCAAAGTTTTTATAAAAATGTAAGACCTACCCTAAATCATCCTATTTAAATATTGCTATTTATAAATTTAAATTCTTGAGCAATTTTTTATAATGAAATGAATGAAGACAATTATTCCATCAATTTTCATTTTCATTTTTAATTTATCTTTAATAATTATGGCAAATATCTTAGTAAAGTTTTATTGTTTCTAACATTGTTTTAAAGTTGTTTGTCAAGGTTCATAAGTTAAGCAAAGCACTACCAGGAGCGTGGTGGATTGATCTCAGAACTTCTCGCTTATGAGGCAAGCTATCACTATTTATCACTATTTATAACTAAAATGCACTCTAAAAAATGACAATTAGTAGCAATTTATTATGAAAAGAGATTCATTTGACCATTTGATCAACTGATGTTAAGGTAGCAAATACTTTAAAGTATTTGCTACCTTAACATCATAAATTTCACTCTCACTATTCTCAACAAAAGCATGATATATAAAATTAATATCATGAGAATAGTGAGAGTGAATTCATAAAATTCACTCTCACTATTCTCAACAAAAGCATGATATGCTTTGATACATTAATCATTAGAAATTTTTCAGGAATTTGTTTTGAACACATCTTTACAATTATAATTTCTAATCACATGAACTGACTTTTATTAATGAGTTAAGTAGACAACATTTTGATCAATATAACATATTTTGTATTAGTTATGTATATATACTATCTATGAAAGATTTTAATTCTATACAGATATAATCAATATAGAATAAAATTTATAATTATTATACATACATCCTATCTAATATCATTATTATAGAATATAAAAGTATAAATAGAACAAAAATGTATAAATGATAAACATTAATTTCTTCTTATATCAACATTATGAATATGATTATAGATTTATTTTAATGACATCACAAATATAAGATATACCTTAATGTAAATGTAAACATGGACTTCTATAACCTTATATTTATTTTGAATGAAGGTAAATATAAGATTTTGTTATAAAAGAACTTTTATAATCTTTTTTCATATAAGAATTATTATAATTAATAGAAAAACTCACCATTGTACTTTATTATTTTTCAAATGTAATAAACAAGTTCTGATAAGTTTTTAGTTCACTAAACTAGTTGCTATTAGAAGAACGCGAGTTGTTTTTAAATTTAAAACAAGGTTTAGAATTTAAACCTACTAAAACAACGCATGCGTTAAAAATTTCCTCAAGTCTTAGAGTCCGGCTAACGAGATGTTTCAAAATCAGACTCTGCGAAACTCATAATTTTTAACCAATCAAAACAGGGATCGATCTCAGGAAATAGCCGTTCGTTAATCTTGAAACCGTAGCCATTTTAAAAAACCTTCAAGAAATGTAATTCCACTGCGCATGCGCATAATAACTTTCCTCTTACAAACGACCGTGACATAGTATAAAACTTATACTAGCATACTAAATTCAATTGAAATTATGATGAAACCCCACCCCATAAATAATAAACCGTTTTCATAACCTGTGTATACAATTTGATTTTTTATTTCAAGGCAAGGACCTAAACTATCTTCAAAACATTTTTGTCAACATTAACACAAAACAGCGTTCAAATGCTCTGAAATAAAAGACAGAGACGTCTACCTTTTTAATGCTCATTTTTACAATGCTGTAAAAAAATGTGACCAAAACAAGTTTGTGTTTTATTTCAGTTCAGAAAAACAGCAATCAAGAAAATAAAAACATTTTCCTTAAAAAATAAAGAATAGGTCTAATTGTGAAATTAAAAAAGTATATAAAATATAAAAGTATATAAAACTTGACAAATAAAGAAAAAAATACCTTTTTCTCAAAAATAAGTTCTAGTGAATGAAATGCTTTAAATACAAAAATTCTATTCAAATGCAAAAAAAATATGCAACAATTATCTAGTAATGGTTTTTTACCATTAATATTACAATTGAAAAAGTTAGTATTTGGTAGAGTTGATTTAATCAATTCCACCAAATACTAACTTTTAAAGTTGATTTAAAGAGGTCAACTAGAGCAACAACAGACCTTTTAAAGCATTAAAAACGTTTGGAAAAAGGAGCAACCTAATCTATTAGTAACATATAAATTTTCCAAAAAAGTTTCATACTCAACTTTAATTAAGGGTTTGACTCTCCTAACTCAGATGCACGTTTATTTTGCGAAACAATTCGACACCAAATAAATTGTGAAAATGATTTAGAAAGAACGAACAGTTTGATTACTGATTTAGTTGTTTACAAACGAAGAGCAGATGATCTAAAGTAATAAAGAAATAATCATGATCATGCTTTGATCATGAGCAAAACCAAATTAGATCTCTAAAGGTACAGACCAGAAAGTTGTTACAGTATAAAATTTGTATATTTACATATACAAATTTTGTGCTGTAGAAAACAAAAACAAAGAGTGTTTAAATAAAGATAATGTCACCATCTATACTAGGAATAAGAACGACTTTAAAAAAAAGTAGTTTTTCTTGCTCCAGCCGGAAGAACTTTTTTTTTTTTTTTTTGACAGAGCCTGTCAGTACAAATCTGTTTGACAAGCTTTGCAGAACAAACATGGATGGAATAGACAATGTTTGCTTAGTTTCAGGTACTTGTGGTGGTCAAAAGAAAATAGCGCTTTAATTAACATGGTAGGCTTCTGGCTGTTAAGACATGTATCTGTATTAGTAAAAACAATTGAGCTTTTGTTCCCAGTTTAAGGGCATACTTTTTTGCCATGTGACCGTGTATTTGGAACTTTGAAAAAAAAGTTTATGAAAATTGAAAGAACTTATTTTCCAGAAGAGTACTATAATGTTTAAAGTACTCAAGAAGCTGTTGAAATTTCTGGAATAGACTGAATGTGTTTTATTTTAAGTCAGTATATAAAAAAGTTTTTAAAAAAGTTATTGCTAATCAAAACTCGGGGAAATAAACGCTTTTTTATTATAAGAGGATCAGCGAAAAATATTACAGTTAAATCGGAACTTAATTTTAATTTTTTTCAGAATAGTCCTCGGTTATAATTGTTTATCTTGTTCCTCTCAGATTCAAAAAGATGTTCCAGTAGTAGAGGCTAAAAAAAAAGATTTCGAAAGGCTAATGCATATGCATGCAGGAGTGAATTGTATTTTATAGTATAAAATACAAGTTTTATCTATAATTCATGCAAATCAAAACCTTTTTCTTTCAAATCATTTTTAATGCTTTTTAATAAAACATTACAAATTTTTTATAAATTTAATCAAGTATATATACAAGGCCGTCCCTTGAGTTGGTGGCGTCTAAACATAGTTGCGGCGCCCCCTCCCTACAGCAATAGTCGCGTATGTAAGTTTTTTGTGCTTCTTCGAGATTTTTTTAAGCAAAACTGTTCAATAATTTCTCAAAGGTTTAGCTATTTTACCTCCTCGTTTCGAATGGAGAGTATTGCAAGCGACGTCAATCTTTTTTGCTTCATTGATGAATGTACTTTGGTTTTAATTAACTTTGCTTTCTGCTTCTGCTCACACTATTTGTCAAAAACAGTTGCTGAGTTGTGGAATTTTCATTGTACAGTTTTTCCCCATTTATATCTGAAATGCTTTTCTCAGTCGGATGAGGTGTTCTTGTAACATTTTAAAATCCCTTTAAAGTTTGTCCTTTGGTGAATGTTTTTTCAGGTCAAATAGAAATCCCCATATATGGTATCGTATTTGGAGAATTTGTCCATTTTGTCTTTTAAAGATTATTCAATTCTTTGGAAAGACTCTTTTGAGCTAGGGAAGTGACCAACGTTTGATTGATGCAAAAATAATTGTACAGATTTTTTGAATAACTTCAATATAGGCAGTAATATAGACTTTACCAATTATTTAGCTTTTTAATTTTTTTAAGTTTTTCAGGTGCTCCCAGAAGTCGTCACGAACATTCAATTAGAAGCTCACACCTCCTTCTTTACCAATGTTATTTATTGGGCTGGAGCCGGCGTTGAATCTCGGACTTTTGGGTTCTGAGTCAAAAATCTAACCACTGCGCCACGGCTGCTTAAAGCTTCATCTGATATAACTACGTTCAAGCTGTGGCAACCACAGGGTGTAAATGAGGCATGTGATATTCTGATATTCATGTGATATTCTGATATTCTGATATTCTCATGGATATTCTGCAGAAATTTGAGTTTGAACACCTTTTCAAATTGCAACATATGAGACCCGTTGTTATAGCATTGATCTATGCAGTTTTATAGGTCTAGCCTACAAGTCATCATTTCTTCAATTAGAAGGTAAGAATGAGCTTCACAAGTCGATTCTTTATAAACTGCATATCCATTAAAGTTTTCTTGAACGTAACTATTTCTTTATTTCCTTTATGAACATAGCAAATGTCTATAAAAGTTTGGTCTGAAGTGCAACCTATAATAAATAAAAAGTATTTTGCAAACTTTACCTTGTTCACAATAGTTGCTTTAGATACAAAGCTAATAGATGAATGATATCGTTTTGAATATTGACAGTTAGCATTTGTGAACGTTTTTCTCCATCTTCAATTTGCCGTTAATGTTCCATCAAAATTGATCAAGTAATTGAATAAGACCAAAGAAGTACTCTTTATTTTTTAAGACTTAAATGGTAAAGATATTTTATGAAGTTATAAAGACCGCTTAAGACAAAAAAAAATTTGCTATGGCTTTTCCATAGGCCGTGGTGCCCGGTTGTCCCTCCTAGGGACAGCTTTGCTATTTTATATATATATATATATATATATATATATATATATATATATATATATATATATATATATATATATATATATATATATAAATATATATATATACATTAGTTGACAAAAAGAACATATACACATATATAGTTTTTCGTTAACAAAATTAATCAAAATAAGTCCATCTAACATTATAAAAGTCATTAGTTTAATCTGGTTTATTTCAAGATTCTATAAAATTGCGTTTATTTCTATGAGCATCATCTATTTTTATCCCTACACTGAAGCAAATTTACAAACATTTTGAGCGCAAAATACGGGTGGGTCAGTTTTCCTTCGTTATCTCAAAATCAATTTACACGGACTTAGCGCGTTTTGTAAATGGGTTTCTCATTTAATCCTAACTCCTAACAAATATCTTTGCATCCAAAATTTGTATTTTTTTTAGTTCTCTTTAATTATAATTTATTATTATTATATTGTTCCCCATCTTTGTTTGCACCTCTCATCTTTGTATTTTACTTCCCCACATTTATGTTTTAAACATTTTTGTGAATTAATTAGTTAAGTTTTGTGAATTAATTGGTTAAGTTATATTTTTGGTTAGACTGCTTGTCCAAGCCAAAGCTTTGAGTTGATGTATGGAAACTCCAATGTGCCGTAAAAAATGTGGTAGTAAAAATCTCTACTAAACTAGAATTTAAATAAGTAAAAAAATCTTCGTCATATGTTTTTTGTTTCACTAAAACGCGTTTTTTATTTTCTCATTTTTAAATTTAATTTATTTTGATATTGACTTGGTTTGAATTTTTTCAATAATGAAAACTTTTAAGAAAATTAGATTTTTAAAAATTTCATTTTTATTTTTTATTTTAAATAAATTAAATTTTTTTCTTAATGAATGCTGTACTTTTCGATTATCTTTTACGATATTGAATGATGAAAATTTAGCATTTAATGCCATTTTCAGCGAAATCAGATAATTCTCAAAAGTGACATCCTTCAATCGCGCTCAATTTTTTATATAGTAATGCTGATAAAGTGAAAAAAACCCTGTACATTTTTTTGCTAAATATTTTTAGTTCCTAAGTAATGGTCAGTCAAACTTTTGACCTTTAAAAGCATCAAAAGTAATGATTGAGATTTTAAGATTTTAGCTAAATTTAAAAACAATGACACAATTGTATCCTAAGTTTCCTTTTATATTAAGATAGTATATGTAGAATTCTCAAAAACAAATTCAAAAAAACCGAGGAAAATCCTTTCTTAGTCTAAAAATCATTAGCTGAAATCTCAAATTTTTGAATTTGGGGCCTATTTTAATAACATTTCAAAACTTAAAAGACTCTCGCGGGTAACTGATTATTTTTGAAAAGGGTAATTCATTGTTATTTTTTTGGTTTAAAAAAATTGAGTGGTGATTGCTTACAAAAATACCTAAGAGTGATCAAACTGTTAAAAAATCATTTATGAAATTCTACCACCATTTTATTTAAAAC